GATATAATATTATGTAAGCTTACCAAATCACGATGTACAATTCCTTCTTCATGAATACACGACACAGCACTAGCCAACTGGAATGCAAAGTTGTATTTATCATCCCAAGTAAGCTTATCAAAATGCTTCTTCAAATAGGTTCTAAGTGACCCACCATCAGCATATTCCATTACTAACCAATACCTTTTCAAATGAACATCATTGTCTAAAATTTTTTTAATTTTTAAAAATTTATTAATGAGTTAAAAATAAATATAAATAAATATAAAATATCAATATATATCTTTAATAAATTTATGAACATTACATACTTTGTTTAGAAGTTATCCCCAAAAAGCGAATAATGTTATCATGAAAATCGACTTCGCTTTGAAGTTCGAGCTAATAATTTATTTTAGTTTGATATATAAATGATTTATATTAAAAAGATTGAAATAAACTGAAATACATTTTAACATTTGTAATTACCTCACGAACTATTTCTTTAACAGTGTCATTGTTAAGATTATGAAAGGATTTTAACGCGAGAGGTTGCCTTAAACTTTTCCAATTTGCACGATAGACTTTTCCAAAGCTGCCAGTACCGATCTCTTGAATATTGCTAAAATGTTCGTATTCGTAGCATTTGATTTTATTTCTTAAAATATATTCCTCTATCAAATTAATCCAGTCATTTGAATTATTGTCTTCTTGCATTTTGATTTTTGTAAAAAGATGATAAAAATTCTTGGTGAAAAAGCAAAAAAAAAAAAAAAATGCACTTGGTAAATCATGTAACGTTAAGCTAATAAGCCACCGATCCAATAATGACCGGTGTAACAGTAAAAAATTTCTAAATAAATAATTTTCTTTATTAGGATTAATTGTATAGCTGTTTCCTGGATTTGAAGAATGAAAAAATTTTTTTTTGTCCGAATTAATATTAATTAAATGAAAAAATTTCCTATTTAACCAAAAAACGCTTTAGCGAATATAAAAAATTTCAATTTATGGATTTTCGATGTGTTTAAATTAAATTTTATTATTTTCCAAAATTTTGAGAACATAATAACACGCTGTTTCCCTTACGATACACCTGACAATTTATTTAAGAACTAATAAAAAGTAAAAAGTTTGATTATAAAATGAAACCGCGATAGAATATTTGACAATTACCGACATAAAATCTACAAAGGATCTTTAAATCAAAATATCACTAGGAATTTATAATAAATCAAGATCATTTAAGTCGTTTTCAAGGTCATTTTAACAATACTTCTAAATGATTAGACAAATTATCGAAATAACTTACCCTTACTTGAGGAACGAATGTTTTGATTCAATAGGTTGATTTCCACTTTTGAATTTTGTTTTTCAATAAAATGATTTTACAATTCTATCAGATTTTTCTATCCGGTATTATAAAAGATAATGATTTCATTTTTGTATTATTATAATAATTAATCTGAATAAAATAATTGATTAGAAAAATATTCCTTTTATTGCTAAGAAAATTTACTTAATAAAATAAAAAAAAATGTTTTATGACTTGATATTCCGGAACAAATAAAAAACAAAGTAAAATCGCATAACATGCAGATAGAGGTTGGAATCGGTTTTATTTTCACAAACCGGTTCAAAACTCTAAGATAGCATTCTTCAAGATTAGAAAGAAGAGAGGCTAGGCTGAGAATTTAGAATGAAATTGATGCAACTTTCTATACACTGAGAATAATGGCGTATTTCATAAATATTGGGAACTCGATAATCTATGGAATCATTTTGAATAATAATAAAATTAACATAAATATAATATGAAAATGCATATAACCTATAAAATTATAGTAATTTCTAAATTCTATTTTGAAAACTATGATTGCGTAAGTCAAGGGTCGGTAAAAAATTTGAAAATTTGTATTTAGGGAATATAGCCGAGATTTCGAGGATAAAATAACATTAATAATGTGCGGTGGTTTTAATAAAAGGAAGAGGTTCTATTTTTACATATAAAAGCATGAGTTAATTGGATAAAAATGTTACGTTGTTTACAGTTATTTTTGTATTGTAGTTGTTAGTTTAAAAAGTATATCATAGGTCAATCAAAAATCTGGAGAGGGTATATAGAAAAATTCGAATAATATACTGGAATAAATAATCGTGAAAAATTATTGCGGAATAATTATGATAACGTATGTATTGATAGTTTTCTATTTTTTTCAAAAATAAATAATAATACACGTATACTAGTGCAAATCTTTTTTTCTCATATTTTTACATTTATATAATTATTTCCTTTTGTAATATTCGATGAATTTAAATAAATATGTTTTTTGTACTCTCGCATTTCCTCTGGCTATATTCTTAAAAGAAAATAATCTCAACAATGTTTCACGTACATCGCATGAGAATAAAGTGAATCCGTTTTGTAAAATATCATTAAAAATATCGTTTTCTTCGTAATTATTTTAGTTAAGAAATTCGAAGTTTTCGTAACGACATTAAATGTGCAATTAAATTAATGAATAGAAATTACCCATGAACCCATGTTATTATGATTTTCTTTTTTTTTTTTTTGACTATCAAGATGATTGCGGAAAATTAGTTTACAGTTTTGACCTTTTTAGAAGAGATGAAGAATGTCCTTCCTGAAATATGACATCGTTTAATAAAAGAATAAAAAAGATTCGTGAGATATCTACTGTCGCAAAAAAAAAAAAATTTAAATATTGAGGGACTCAAAGCTAACGACACTTTAATATTAAAAAAAAATTATTGCTTTCTATCCTTTGTACGACTGTAATATTGTAATAACTTCATTTGTTAGAATTAAAGTTTTGATACTTTAAACAACGAGAGATAGGCAACTTTACTCATAATATAGGCATATAAATTTGAATTTATTGAGAGATACTAATGTTTGAAAAAAAAATTCTTATGAAAATAATGAGAAGTAATTAATGTAATTGGTTCTATAACTGAAAATATTTCGTATTTAAATGTGCTTATAGTTAACAAATTATGTTCAATTTAATAAGAATGAAGCTAAAGTATTAATTTCGGCTGAAAATTGTAAAGAAGAATCCGAAGTTATAAATAAATATTTATATTTCTGTACTATTGACTTCATACATAATTTCAGCACTTTGGTAAATTAAAAAGACAGAAAGTTCATATGCAAAGTTATTCAGCAGATATGATAATATTTTAAATATAACTTTTTATCAATGCTAGTTTAAATTTTTATAAAAATTTTAGATATTTTGCATAAAATTACTGTGTCTTATATTTACAACACATTGATCTGAAAAAATGAGTAAAGTTATTCAGAGGTATGGAAATACTCAGATATCAATTTTTATCATAATTTCCAGCATTATAATCAAAAAATAAGTATAAGAAGGATGTTTAGCAAGTATGGAACTATTTTAAGTATTTTTCTTCTCAAAATAATTTGAATTTTTGAAATTTATACAATTAAAACCTTAATAAAATTTATTTAACAAAAGTACAATAAAGCTATTATGAAATGAATTGTAAAATTGTAAAAATAACTTTATTTTCTCTTGAAAAATTGTAAAATTTCCTTAAAAAAAAAACCCCGCGGTACATGTTAATTAACTTCTTTACTCATCGAGTAAGTTGAGGGTTTTCGGAAGCAGATAGGGGATAAAATAAGTAAATGAAGCGATTTCAATTTGTTATTCGAATTTGATCTGCCTAATTCGAATAATTTTTTCCGAATAAATTAAATTCAAAAAAAAAAAAAAAATGTTATGTTTAATGTGTACTAGTTTTTTTTAAAAAATTTAAAAATCTTTAGAATTTTATCTTAATATGCTTAAAATCATAGTTTTAAATATAGTTCACATATTATTATCATTTTTTTTTAATATCCTTTTAAAATTTCGTAGTAAGAGTGTGAGAGACGGAACTTTTTAGGTCCGACTTAACCTATCTTACGTATTTTTTTTTTTTTTTGAAAAAAAAAAATTTGTTTGTCTTTGTCAACATACTATTCTTAATTCCCCTTTAAATTTCGATATAAATTGATTACTATCAACCAAGAAAAACATATAAACGATTAATTATTACTTAGTCACGTAGAATAATTTAATTTGTTCATTGACGTACGACTTGTAATCATTTAATCTACATTGCAACTAGCAATGAAGGCATAGTATGCCAGTGTATAATAAATAACGATGTTACAAACAAAAAAAAAAATTCATTTTTTCGTTGGATTAAGATTCGATTGTTAAAAAAAAAAGTTCTCGACATTATTGCAAAAAAAAAAAAAAAAATTCGAATTTATTTTTTCGTTTGATCCTTTACATAAATATCAATAAAGACTCGATGGTTGAAAAAAAAAAAATGTTATTCTGTCATTACAAATGATTATTGAAATTTTAGATTTTCGGTAAAACGTTTAACTTTTCACTTTTCATCGTTATCCTGACAACAAAACCATCGAATTTGGCGAGTTTAATAGAAAAAATGTTTATATAAAAACAATTTTGTTCAATCGGTTTTCTAACCAAATGATTAAATCTTCACATGCAAGCACGGGGTAGGTATTAGTAATATTATAAATTTCGGAAAAGTCATCGATTTCGTAATCATACAGAACATCTTTGTTTGCCTCATATCGAAATGAAAATGGATAATTATTATTCAATAGATTAATAAGTGAGAGCTCATCTTTGGGTTATTGTACTTCATAATCAGCTGGCAATGTAATTTTATTTGTTGTGTTCGCGTTGAAATTGTACGAAATCTCATTGGGAGGTTGCGTCTCAAAAATGATAGGTGAGACCATGCGTTGGTCTCGGCACAATCCCAGCATGCCTGATTCATTTTCAAATTCCAATCCTTGTCGGGGAGAAGACGCTTGATCTCTAAGTCGATCTTGATTCTCTGGCGTTTTAAACACATTTATCGCTGATGGACGGTTCTCTAACATCATTATCTATTTCGCTAGTTGGGTTAAATGTCGGAAAAGAAATTCCGTATGTTGTTCGAGAAATGTCAAGGTTCCTCGGAGGTTGGTTGATCGAGTAAAGAAATAGGCTTTCCCACACCGTGCTTACAAGAATCCTCGCCCCATCATACGTTCAGTTTTAACCATTCCGGTTCCCGTTCGGCAGTTCCAGAAATGGATGTTTGCTGTCTCTTGAGTATCAAACAAAACCTTAGTCGACATTTGCTTAAAAAAAAACACGGCATAAATTAACTCTAAACATACATACTGATACGGCTTTAAAAATGTGCTGAATAGATCGTTTGAAGTTTCGTACGTCCACTAGATCTTTAAATATTTCCTTTAATTAAAAGTTAATATTACTAAACAAAAGACACTTACTTCTTCCAAAGTATTTAAATCCTTTAAATTGAGCAACATAATGTACAGAACGTCATTAATTTTAATTGACCAATCAAATCAAAGAATATAACGTCGTTTAATCTTTACGAAAGTTAAATTTGAATATTTAAGTTTACCTTCTTCAAAAATCACGTTATCAAGTTCTAATGCTTTCCTTGTCTCCTTGTCCTCCTTATTTTCAACTTATCGAATAATTGGTTTATTAAAAAAAAAAAAACATTTTTACAGTACGTTTCAATAAATTCTTTGGGTTTTTTAATAAAAAATGGAATCATTGGACAACTAATACACAAATTCAGTAGAAATTGATGATATGAAAACCAAGTTTATACCTTCAATAAACTGTAATGATTGTTCTAATGTTTTAACGGCTGTTCCATTAAGATTCAAAGCGTTAATGGTATGCAAATTTTACAATTTCTCCTTTATTATTATTGTAAAGGTATAAAAATGAATCAAAATTATTATTCTAATTAGATTATAAGAATTCGAAAATACTTTTGGGGGCTTTTCAACTAAAAGTGAAACAATAAGTGAAAAATAGTACCTTTTTTCTCAAAAATTGGTTGCGTTCAATTCTAAAAAAAAAAAATAAAATAAAAAATGTTTGTACATTTATCATATTTTAAACAAATTCCTGTTTAAAGATTTTTATTTTTTAAACGCTTTCTTTATCATTATGAAGAACTTTTGAAATTTCAACGCTTTGACCATTTTTTTTAAAAGTTAATCATAACAACGTCGTTGATAATTATAGAGAATCCTTTAAAACCAATTTCTTGTAACATTTAATATGGCTTTTAGAAATAGCCTCTTCAATCCAATTAACCCTCTCGTTTTGAATTATTATTGACGCTTTGCATATTTTTTTTTTTTTTTTGTTTAGAGCGAATATAAAAAATTCAATTCTTGGATTTAAAAAAGAAATGAACTTGGTAATGCATCAAAATTTTAAGCCCACAAATTTTTTTTAAAAAAAAAGTCGTCTGAATGACAAATTACTGCGTCATTCACACTAGTGTGGCCGACCGACTTTTTGACAGACCGTTTCAACTTCAAAATAATTCTTCGTCCTGATTTTATACAATACAGTTTTTTTGTATATATCAGTATTAACTTTAATTCAAAATTGATTATCGGACGAACTAGCCGGTCAAATGGTCAGTCACTTCCTAAACACTTACTCGATAAATTATTGAAGATAAATACAAGAAATTTCTTTGTAACTTTGTAAAATGTACTGAAATAATAACTGCAACAAGTCTAGTATTCTGACGTATAAAACTTAATAATAATAGATATAATAAATAATTTTTTTTTATTTATGAAACAGTTCGTTGCAGTAAGCTGTATCAAACAAATTTTTTTTATTAATACTCAATAATAAATCGGCGTCTTAAATATACAGAAAAGTCTGGAAAAGATTAATGATTATCCGAATTATGAGATATCTTATTTTAAGTCTCACAAGAAACGTAAAAATTTTTCGGAAACTTCAATGAATTTTAAAAAGCTTTACAATAATCAAATTTCAGTTCATTCATAAAACGCGTAATATATCGAATTTGTAAAAAAAAAAAAAAATTATGAATATTCAAAAACCGATAAGAAAATTTTTCTTTTGTAAATTTATCAATTTCTCAATCGTTTAACTTACAAATTACAATCAAAATTCTAATAAAAACGTAAAATAATTACATATTTATATTTATTTAACAAATTATGAGATGAATGTTTGATACATAGGAAAAAAAAAAAAAAAAACAAAGAAATTGCTTTTAAATTAAAAAATTCCTTATCTATGGATAAGCGCACATTTTCTCAAAATCGCATCTAATCTTACCACCAAAAATTTCTTTAAATTTGCTCCACTCACAATATTCACTCTCACAGCCCGGGACAACAAATGGTTCAGAATTAAATACTACTCGTATCAATACGCGATCATCGGAACACGTATAAATTTCGTAATAAAGCGTAGATGAAAAGTATATAAGTCTATGGCCTGTATATTTAATATTTTGAATTTGTTCAAAGGTAAGATTTGCCGTGAGTGGGTATTCGTTTTTAAATACTCCCTGTAATCAAAAATATTAAATAAAAAATAAAAAATAAAAAGGTGAGAAAAATAAAAAGATAATAGAATAGAAATGAAAAACTTTAATACCATTGTAGCGAACAATATGCTCAAAGTAAAACCTAGAACATTCCTTATATCGGCTATCATGCTAGAATTCCCATTCAAATAACCTTCAACTTCATTTACAAGTTGAGTTAGGTATCTACAACCCAGTCGTGTGTTTAAAGGATGACCATATAAAAATTGATAATAATATCTCAGATCCCAATAATATCGCGATAATAAAAGTTCTTTGGGACTTAATAATGAGCACCATGCGTCGGAACGATTAAACGCCGCGAGCCAAAATTGGCAATTAATCAAAATGTATGGCACTAGATTTGGATCAAGTGGTGGACTAATATGGTGTGTATCGGAAAGTCGCTTGGCAATTGTTACTAGAGTCTTGTTACCATAAGCATAGACTTGTTCATCACGTAGTGTATTATTATTAAAAACGGTCTCGTTCCAACGTCGACAAGCGAAAAACATGTAATGCTCAGCATCTTGTAACTGCAAAAATAATTATGCGATATGAAAAGCATTTGAACAAAAACTAAAATTTATACATGGAGCAATAAAACAATATTTTACCAATGGTGGAGTCGAATAGTATATAGGTTGACTTTTGCAAGTGTCTAAGGGCCCCTTGCCATTAAATAATCCTTCAGAAAAGGCCATCAACGACGCACCGTGTCTTAAAATGAAAAAAGATAGTTATGGTTTGTTCGCAAGAACCAAATGTGTGAAAATTCAAAAATATTGTACCTTGAAGTTTGAGTACTTTGAAATTTTATAACTTCGGGATCATATTTCACCCCATCCCAAAATTTTGCGTATCTTTTACGACATTGTAAACCATCAAAATAAGGTTCTATTTCTCCTCGCTTAACCAATTGAAGTTTTTTACTCATGGGGAAGGGATTTTTATACTAAAACATAAGTATTTGTGAATAAGCGATAAATTTCTTTGAAATAATTTGAGTTTTTTTTACCCATTCCTTTGCAACAGAAACGTTAGCAAATGTTTTTTCCAAACTTTCAAAAGCTGCAATTTCAATCTCATCTGGATATCTTGATCCTTATAATTAAATCCAAAAAAAAAAATATTATTTTGTGGTTTAATTTTTATACTTTGCAAAATAATATTTACCATGTCTAGAAACCGAATGTAATTGTTTTAAATCACATTTTGCAGGATAACTTATGGGTTTAATGTCGGTAGCAAAGGCAGTTTGAGGTGGTTCGACGTAAAATAGATGTTTGCTGAAAAGATATTCTTGAGAATAATTGTATGTAATGCATAGCGTTGGATTATAAGAAACAAATAAACTGAGGATAAAAACTAGATATAATAAGTTCCGCATCTCCTTAATTATTTTTTTTTTTTCCTATGTATTATAGAAAAAGAAAATCAACAGTAACGAGACGAGAAATATATTTTACGAAAGAAAATTATTTCACCGAAAAAAAAAGCTTAATTTAATTCATTTGACATTTTGGATTTTCATTGATTAAGATACTGGTATTACGCCATTGTTTATTACTAATAAGGTATGTTCTAAAAATGTGGGAACAAAAATAATTGGTTTTGTTCATTTGATTGTTTGATTGTTAATTGGTATGATTAGTATAAATTTTACTTTATTTAGAAATTTTTTTTTTCTTGGCAATGACCGTTGATTATTAACTGAACAGATGCGAAATACTGTTTTTCATATGATAATCGGAAATTTTTTTTGGATTAATTAGAGGGTGATTCAAAGTTATTATTTCCTTTATTAGTCCGGAATCAATATTTGTGTCGATGTTTATTGCACGCAATTGTTTCACTGCTGATATATTACGATTATTTTATCACGTGAATTAAAATGGGCTCGCTCCGGACTTGCAAACGGCCTCAGTTACCTAGTATATATTTTGAGATTTATTTAAAAAAAATGCTCAGGTATAAATAGTGTGTGCCATTTTTATTATTAAGATTGAATGGCTTTTCAATTTTTTTTTAAAGAAAGAACTGAATCGTCAACGGTAATTTTTAAGGATATTATTACAACAAATAACTTTAAAGCACAGAGGAACACGATAACATTATCAAGGAGATAGGCATGAAATATATTTTCTGAATATTGATAAAGGGTTTCAAAAGATAGGAAAATTCAGATATTGATAAAATTTTAGCATCTAATCATTAAGACACAGAATATATTATTTAAATTATTACTCATGAAAGAATTAAAATTTTAGCTGATATTTTGCTTTTACAAGACTTTTATGTAATAACGTCTAAATTAACTTCTATTGAGGATATATTCTATTACAATTTAATGAAAGTGTAGAAGTGTGATTTATCAAATTTGGTCGGTTGATTAGTTAATACACGAAATATAATAAATTAGTATGAATGTATTATATGCATATAAAGATCCTTACCAAATGAGGGACCAGCATTATTCACATATAATAATGCATGCTCCACATTTTTTACGTTGCTAAAAATTGAATCCTTGAAATTATCCTTATTCATAAAAGAGAATATAAAACTATCTTTAGTTTGACCATATTCACCTCCTAGGTTATCGGGTTTCTTCCATATAAAAGGATTATATCCTCCAAGAATTTCTTTCGTTTCTTTTACTTGAATGAATGTAATTGTGTGAGGGTTTATTATCGCATAAATCATGAAACTTTTGAGGAGAAAGTCCATCTTAATAATAATTTAAATTTGTATGGTAAATACAATTCTCTTACATAAGTAAATTTGCTTTTAATTTCCACCTTATCAATCCATCTTGAAATTATGGATACAATATTTAAATTAACGATTTTTGTATCAATAATTCCATCAACATTTCTACATCTAGGGAATAAAATATCATCGCTTGGTACACTGTCAGTATCCAAATAAGAATTTATTAAATTCTCATAGAGTTGAAGATTTAAAAGTTTTTTATACGGACGTACGTTTTTGGCAAACTCGTCAGAAGATAAACTATAAAACCTGATTAGTGGTAAACAATGTTGCAAAGTATCTTCCATGATTTCACAATCATCCATTCGTCCAAGCTATAGGATCTGAAACTAGCTTAAGATTTTTTTCAAGCCCCCATTTTAATACATGCTTCCACACTTCAACTTCCTTCTAAGTGAAATTAACATTTCTTCAGGAAGCAAAGTATAATCGAGTGATTTGAAAAATTTTTCAGGTGATTTAGCCATTAAATCTGTACAAATCTCTTGAAGCCTTAACAAAGAATTAAATTGAAAACTTGTTCTATGAGTGAGTTCAAAATGTTGTTCCATCCATTCAGATTTATTTTCGATTAAATATTTTTGTAAATATTCAATTAATTCTTGAAGATGAAGTTCTTCAGCAGTCGCCAATATCTTAAAGATATCTAAAATGCCTTGTTCATCATCATTTAATGAAATAACCCCGCCATAAATGTACCTACGTCATGTATATTTAAATCTATTAGAAATAGTAAACAATAAAATCAAGGGAAAAATATCGGTTAAATATAACTTACTTCAAAATAATGTGAAAATTTTCTGGATCTAATGTGATTTAGCATACCATTAATTGTAGCCAGAGTTTGTAAAAATGGAGAACGGTAATTTAAAATAATCATGTGTGCACAAAATATTTGCACATTTGGATTTTCACCAACTTCAATTGTAATACCATAATTTCTAATATTTCAATATAATTTTGAATTAATTTGGGAAATAATTGTGCCAGCATTTTTATATTTGAAAATTGTTGGGAAAGAAAATTTTTTTCTAAATATTTATTTTATAATCCTATATATAGTAAGCTTCAAATAACCACAAATATTTTCGTGTAACGTCGACATATGACACCACAACAAATTTTACAAAGAATGTTTTTACTAGAAAATAAACATTTTTATGCCTCTTATTTGAGATATCCATATAATTTCTTATTTGAAGAAATTTGACGTCCAACTTTCAGTCATACTCTCGAGTTGTTGGAACGCCTTTAAAGTTAAGTAAGTTGTTTAAATGTGAGAAGATTCTTAATTTTCACATTTTAATTGAAATCAATTGTTATTTGTAAAAATAATATATAATTCCATAAATTGTAAGTAAAAAAAATTAAGACCTGAAATATTAAATAAATAAGAGATTTATAAAAACTTTTTAATTAAATTTGTAAACTAAAAAAGTAAATTAGATTTAGTACGACGTTACTCGGTTGACAAGGCGGCGTGACATTTCAGTTATTCCACTGGGAAAAGATAATAGTAAGCACGAAGACATAATGATTTCTGCGGAAGATTATTTGTTTGTGAAAGATCCCTTACAACTTAGGATGATGATGACTTGGATTATTATATTCGAAAAAAAAAATGTATTATACTTTTCCTATTATTTTATGAACGTAAAATAGTCCAGTAAAATAAATGTTTTTTACGTTCTAGGTTAAACACTATTAAAAGATTGACTTTGATTATTGTCATGTAAATTTTTTGTATACAAATTTTACATAGCAAAAAATTAAAACCCTAAAACTAACCTCCAAAACCTTCTCTTTGCCTGAAAATCTTATCGAATGAGCATACAAGATAAATAAAAAACATTATTTTGAATGATCAATGAAGGAACAAGTATTCTGAAACGATAATGTTTTCCTTAGAACCAAAATGCTAGCTTTTGAGGCTTAGAGAATTTAATACTTTATTTATTGATACTTATGTGACCTTAATCAATTTATATATTAACTCGATGTACTGTACATCAATTTAAAGGTATACTTCAAGTATACACAAGTTAAATGAACTTCGTAATAAAAATTACTAATATATTAAATTTGTAAACATGTTTTTGCCAAAAAAAGAAACTGTCGAGGAAACCATATTCTTTGAAAAAAAAAAAAAAGAAATGAAGTGGTAATGTTTGTTCAAATTAAATTAAATCTGCACGATTTGAATTCTTAAAGATTAACGTTGAAAAACAAAGTTCTTTGTTAAAATGCTCATTTGATAAAATTCTTAAAACAACGTTCAAAATGATTTACATAAGAACAACGAAAATCATTTTTGTAATTTTAAACATGGACGAATAACAACTAAACGTTAATCTTTTAAAAAGTAGGCTCATTCAATAATTTTACGAATTTGGAAAAATAGGTATGAAACATTAACTTTTAATATTTATATCATATCTTTTCCAAACAATGAAAAATGGCCAATTTCTTTCTTTTTTCGTCTGTGACCAATTAATTTATATAAATAAATAGCTAAAAAAAAGTTATCACAAATTGCATTTATTACGAATCGGGGTGATTTATGTAATTTGTAAATCTGTAATCCTAATAGAAAAGCGTGTGCTTAATACAACAATGATTCAAAAAGTTCTTTATAAATTTCAATAAATTTAGACGAAATCATTTTTTTTTTTTTCTTTATTATTTTTATCCAATCCATTAATATATGTAAAAAAAAATTCATCATTGAATTTTCACTTTCCTTAATTGTCTTCTTAATTTGGATCGTATCGTATATAGTGTTAATAAAGTTATAGACATAAAAATAGCTCAGCCTATTTTAAAGTTAGAAAAAATGTTAATGAAATTTGAAGTTTCTGGAGAACATCTGTTGAGATTTATTTTCATTGTTATATGCGCGAGCATCATTATAGGAGTCTCTGCAAACAAAATAAATATAGTATTTGGATTTATCAATATTAAAAATATAGAACCGCTAATTTCCATGCAAATTAAGGATTTATCCAAGGATGGGATTCCGGTCTGGTCATCATTTGTATGCTCACCAAATATAACAAAATTAGAAGTAGAATCATTAAAAAGAGGCGAATCGAATGGTGAATCAAAAGATAAAGCGACAATCCTATCACCAGAACATATTACAAAAACTTCAACAAATGCCTTAACATCTGGTGATTGGACCGAAAAACAAGAGGTTTGGCCTTGTTTTGTATTTAATCCAAGAAACATCCGGTTCTTTCCTGGTGAAGTTGATCAAATTATTTTAATAGCTTATAATGATAAAGAAATTATTAAAAGTAATCCAAACGGTATATTATTTGGTATATTTGATGAAGAAAGAAATATGTCTAGTGTTCAACCTTTTGCTGGTCCAATTCCTTCTGTAAACACTTTTACTTTCACAAGTAGCGTAAGACATAATTTATATGATGGTTTCCATTCTTCTTTCTTTGTTAATATGCAAAATATTGTTAGACAAGATGAACCTTTTGCTGAAAAAAAGATATTGACAAGATTTCTATATTCTCCGGATACATATTTAGTAAGTTATTTCACAACTATTTATTTTTTTTTTTTTTTTATATAGATCGCTGACTTTGGTCAATTTTCACATGTTTAGACAAATACTTATACGGAGAGAAGACCATATACTCTATACGGTAACTATCAAACTTTTCTTATTGGACGAACGCATTATTCGTATTTACTAAAATTAAATTTAATTTAAATCCAGATCTTGTTTCCTCCGTTGGTGGTCTTATGACATTAACTTCGGTGATCTGGTTTTTTTTGTTTGGGTAATACAATGTTTGGATTTATAATATAAAAATTTTTCTATTTAAATATTATGAATGATAGCTAATATTTGAATTTGTTTAGGAGAGGCAAATACCGTTCATGGGGAATAGTCCAGCGATATTTGCTACATACTTCACCAAATGCGATGAGAAAAGATGATAGCGATCAATTATTACCTATTTCTTACAAAGATAAAGACGTAGAGCGTCAAATGAGTAGCAACACACTTTTAGGTTCACCGAGTACAATAACCGGAAAACCGGTCTCTTCATCACCTCCTCCTATAAGTGACAATACACACACAAATTCATTATATTATTTCTCAGCTACAGGAACTCCAGCACAACATGAATTTTCTCCACCACCGTTTCATCCAATTTCAAGGTCAAAGAGTCTAAATAAAAAAATTGATGCTAGAATTAATCAGAAACTTTGGTTTGTTGAACAAACCTTAAGTCGTCATTACCTTTCTGGATTTAGATTACGTAATTATGATGTTGAACTGAAAAAATTTGGATTGGAAACGTATGAAGAAGAAGAAGAAGATGATGATGATGATGATGATGATTTAATCCCGCCATCTATTCATCATAATTGGAAGCATTTCAATTTAGATGTCCGTTCTTTGGATCAGAATAGTCTTAAAAAAGGTCACACGTCTTCCAGTATAAGTTCTTTTAATCCAGAGGAATTCAGACCTCAATACCCAAATGTAACTGTACGCCAAAGTTCTCTTGAAGAGAAACCTATGAGAAGAAATAAAATAAATACTGAATCAACTGATATAGGTGATGGATATGTATCTGCATCAACACCATCATCATCTCACTTACCCAATATTCCTGTGCAATTACTACCTCGTAAAACAATCACCATTATCACAAAGTAACGCTAATATTACTTTCATTGTTTAAGAGATCGGTATTAATAACGTACAATGATTTTTTTTTTACAAAAAAAAAAATACGAAACAAAAATTTACGTGTTTTTTTTAATTTTCTTTAATCATTGTTAATCATTTTAATTAGTATTTAATATATGGGAACGCTACAAATAAAATCAATTTATAATTTAGTAATATCATATAAGAGTTAATCGGGTTCCAGGAGCCCTCCGACCAAAAAGAAGATATTTGCATTATATTATTTATTGTATTATATATGAAATTTATTTGATTAAATTTTTATTATTATTAACTCATTAGTAAACCAAGCAATTACCGACAAAACTTCTTAATTTTTGTGTAGCATCAGTCAAAAAATCTGAAATTAAAAAGATTTGACTCTTCCAACATTTTTATTAATTGAAAAATATAATAAAAACTTTATATTAACTGATTTAATGGGAAATTTGGGGTATTCATACCCTTCCAGAAAAAGTAATTTTTATAGTAAACTTTTTTTTTTAAAAAAAAAAAAAAAAAAGTGCTTTTAATTGAAATTTTTTGTTTTAATTATTATTTAATACGAAAACAAATTTCTTTTAAAGTTGTTTATTAAAATTATTTTGATACTTCTAACAAATATTTAATTAAGTAAATAATATTTAGGATTCAAAACAGTGATTTAATAGCAAAATCTCATGTTACGAAGTTGGTGTAACACTGGGTTTAAATTTAATAATAAAATAAAATAAATATATAATAATTTTTAAATAAATAAACAATTTAAAATCAATCATATGACTGAGTATTGAATCGACTCAATATTTAAATTTATTACTGTGGTATTTCTGGTATTTCTTAACCTCGGAACCCGATTTTAATAGCAAAGCTCATAATATGATTTTAATTGGGAGAGGTCGACTTTTTAAACATCTACAATTTTTGCTTATCAATTTTAACTGAATTTATGGAATTTTATTAAGAATAGAATAAATGATTTCTGTCGGATCATTAAATTATCAGTTCGATATGATGAAATGCTAAAAAAAATAATGATTATAAATTCCTGGTATTCTAAGTGAATGATTCAAATTAATGTTTTGCTGATATTATTACATCGCTTTATAATTTAAAATCATTTAGTAAAAACTTGAAATTTTTTTAACAAAGTTTTCAAGGATTCAAGTTATGAATTTTAGATTACAAATGGCGAAATATCATGTCCTCAAGTTATTAAGTAATTTGTAAAATCAACCCATTTAAGCAGTGATGTGCATTTATTCTAAAATTAGATTGATTTTCTTTGAAATTTCGTTTTTCGTTAATTTACGTCTTTGATATTATCCAAAAGTTGCTAGCGGTAGTAAAGATATTGACAGAATAGCTCAGCCTATTTTAAATAGCTTCACATTTGATTAGGTCATTTAGAAGCTGAAAAATGTAAAAGTTTTGTTAAATAAGTAAAATTTTAAGAAAACCAAAAAAATAAATATCGTGATCATATTTTGATTAAGGACAATTAAAAATTATAATGAAAATTTAAAGTTTCCTGTTGAGAATAATTTTCATTGTTGTACCGTCATATAATAAAAATCGAGTCGATCTGGCTTATGCGGAGCTTCAATGAACACCAACACAAAACAAATATATTTACATTCAGTTAATTCACACAGGACGTCTTACCTTTACGCGATGAATTTGACCATGGTAATTATCACAAAAGTTAATATTTAAATTATAAAATTTTTGTTCAATTATAATTGAACGTGTCGCGGCACTTTAAAATATTGATTACTTAGGAATACGTAATTAATTGGAATTACGAACGAAATAATTTTTAACCGTAATACTAGCCGAAACTCATATAACTGACATAATGAAAGTGAGTTCATAATTAAATGACTAAATGGATATTGTTTAGAGCTTGAATTTAGAATCGAAAAGTTTCTTTTAAGCTTAGTAACATACAGATTCTACCATTGGTGTTCTCACAACTAAGAAAATGTGGACGAAAAATTCATCATAAACTCAAATCAAATATATCGTCTTTTAATGAAATTATTTTCTTTCTCAATAAAATGTTTAACTTAAATATAACTTAAAATTCCATTTAAAAAAAATTTATTAAACATTTTTTATTTCTTATGCTAAAATGGTATTTACTGTTAAAATGCGTTCTAAATCTATCTAATATTTACCTATTCTGACACCATAAATATCGTTCGATCGATGGCTGCATTCTTGTATGTAATCGAAATTGTCTTACCAATTAAAGCGGGAGCATTTCCAGATGCAATGAAGGTAAAAGGCTCAGTACCGGGCGGTTTGATTTTTATACCTTGCTCAGTGAAGGTTTCGGATTCATGACCAAGAAGAAATTTATAATTGTCAGGATTAACATCCGAGAATCCTTTCTTGAATTGTCCTGTAACACGGACTTTTCTTTTGTCAATTTGAGTTATCTTAATTTTTCCTTCGAGTTTTTCGAATTTGGCGAGGACTGCGTATACTAAGGGAGATACGTACGAATATGTACGATAGAACACGAGTAGGGATAAGGTTACCAGAAAAGTGAAAATTGTACTTTTAAGCGCCATATTCGATAACATTTTAAAATTATATTTTAGATGATTGTCAATTTATGGATTTTTTCCTCCAAAAAAATCTACCTTATTTGCCATATTTATACAATTTTTTTTCTTATCGTTATCTTTCAAAAAATAAATTCAATAAACATTAAAACACTTTATATCTCACATGAATTTCTACAGATTCATTTTATTTATTAGTGAATGAGCACAATTAATTATGTGTGGAACTTTATTAATCACTTTTATCATGTACTCAAATTTACACAATATTTGTATCATGTTTCGGAAATGACGATCGCAATTGTTACATGAAATAAATTACACTTACATATTTGGCATTCTATTTTTAATCTTTTCCACTATAAAATAAAAAAAAAAAAAAATCGGAGGGAAGCGAAGGACATATTAATTAGTGGAAAATTACTTGTCACGTGAGATTTCCGTCTGATTGGATAAATCGATAATCAAAACAAGAATTAATAAAGTCATACACAAAAATTAGCAAATCTTGCTAAACTATTAGATGTAGCTAATGAAAATTTCCTTCTTCTTTCAGGCTGAACAGATAGGCTATATGAAGTTTCTAACTGAAGTTAAATGAAGTTCAATTCTTTGGGGTATTCTGATCAGAATTCTCGCTTGAGAAATCCATGTTTAAGTTCTGTTGCAATGAATAATGTGTCATATAAAGAATGGCGAAAGGTTCTATAAAGAAATTGGTTTTTATAAATACTGTAATTAATTGTGTAATTTGAAGAACTTATAGTTATTTTATATCTAAAGCTTTAATTAAAACAGAAATTTATGTGATAAGAATTTAAAAGAAGTCAAAATCATTTGAATTGGAATCAAATTTAGAAATAGTACAGTAATATATTGAGAGTAAAGAAGAGCTTAAGTGTAAAGCCTGTATATCTATATATGGGTGAGTGCTGGAAAAAGGGACCAAATCAAAAATTTTCAAAATTTGTTCTTAAGTAAAATTCATCTCATCTGACCCATAACTCTCATTATTTAAAAAAATAACTTTTTAATAATTTGGTCCCTTTTCTTAGCATTCACTCTATAGGTCAAATTAATGTGATACCAATTTCAAAAATATTCAAATTGTTTACATTCTAATATGTAAAGAAAATAATAAACTTAACAAAAAAAATCTCTTTCATAAATTTTTTTAGGTAAATCTCTAATTTATGATTAAGATTGTATACTTGATTCTCTTTTTTAAACTCAGTTGTATCTAAATATATAATGAGTTTATAACCTTAAAAATTTTTAATATTACAGATATCTGAAATTCTTGAATTATTTTTGCAATTTATTGTCATAAAATTTAAAACTTATTTAATGATAAATTTAAAAACAAACTAATAATATATTATAATTAAGTTCTAAATGAAAAATAATATTATAAAAAGTTTTTATGTAGCTTTAATTCATTTTTTATTATAACTTGAAACTTAATAAAAAAAAATTAATTACATCTTAAGCAAAAGTTATTCTATTATCAATTACCATGATTATATTAAAAAATATATATTCTATTAATAATAATCAAATTTTTTAAGTGCTATTGATATAGATAAATTAGTGATTAAATAACAAAAAATATCTGATTTATTAAATAATTAATTATTAAATAATAATAAATTACTTTATTATTAAATAGTATTAAATTGCTTTATTATTAAATAGTATTAGATTACTTTATTAATAAAAATATTTTATTTAATAAAATAATTTAAAATTTATATACCATCAAAATTATATCTAAAAACAGTCTATTTAAAATCTAAAAAAAATAAAAATAAAAACATTAGTTGATAAACTTTTCATTAAAAAAAGTAAAATAAAATTTATTTTATTTTCCTAACCTAAATAGAATTAAAAAACATTTTTTAATGTTTCATAAAAAAATTCAAAGTTAATTTATCTTTGAAATTACACTTAAAAATTCTTTGAACTTTATAAATAAAACATTAAAAAGTATTTTATCAAAAAAAGTTAATAAAAATATTATTTTTAAAATTACTATAAAATATATTACCTATAAGCTAAAAATAATTAAACAAAATGTTTTTAACATTTCATTAAAAAAAATATTAAAGAAAAATTTTGTAAAACTTACTATAAAAAAGTAAAAAAAAATGAAAATGTTAAAAATATTTTATTAAAAAAGATAATAAAATAAACTTTTTAAAAGTAAATACTTTTATAATTTGTTTAAAAATCCTTTTAAAAACCTATAAAATAAATGAAATATTAATTAATAACATTTGCTTAAAAAAGAATAAAATAATTCAAAGTAATTTATCTTTAAAATTCTATAAAAATCTAAATCTCCTAAAAGTGCAAAAAAAGACAAAAATTAGAATCTTTATTTTAAAAATAACAAAAAACTTAAAGATAAATACT